GTGAAGTTGAGGCCTAGGGCAGAGGAGCTGGGTCTCAACCACACCAACAATGTGGAGATGGCGCGGGCGGCTTTCGAACTGCCGACCGTAGGGATAGAGGAGGGCCTCGTAATGAAAACGAGCCAAACGGGATCCAAGCTACTGCTTGTCTCAGGCCCAGACAGCAGAAAGAAGGCGGACGCCCTGGCCAAAAAGTTAGGAGAAGTGGTCAACGAATACGCGGAAGTCGGCAGACCGGAGAAAAGCGTTGACATTCGGGTGACAGGGCTGGACGAGTCCGTCACCCAGGAGGAGCTTAGGGAGGCGGTGGCCAAAAAGGGGGGCTGCTCCACCCGGGAGGTGACGGCGGGGGGAATGAGCCCCGGGCCGGGAGGCATGGGTGGGACGCTTGTCCGCTGTCCCGCATGGGCCGCCAAGAAGGTGGCGGAGGGCGGAAAAGTCTAGGTGGGCTGGAGCCTGGCAAGGGTGAGGGTCTTACACCGGCGCACACACTGCTTCCGGTGTATGGAGAGGGGGCACGCGGCGGCACGGTATCCGGCGAAGCAAGACCGAAGCACTTTGTGCTTCCGGTGTGGGAACACGGGGCACAGGGCGGCGTCATGCGCTGCTCCACCCCGTTGCGCAGCCTGTGCGGAGAGTGGCCGGCCATCGGACCACATCATGGGGAGCGGGAGGTGTGACCCTCCGGTCACGAAGGGTAAGCCTCCCGACCGAGTGGCCTCTGAGGCGGCGTCCGGACAGACGCCCTCAGGGGGGGGGGGGGGATGTCCGAGTTACCTCGGCCGCTCGGACCCCCCATGGATGTCGTCACCCGCGCTTCCCCCGACTTCTCCCATTTGGGAGAAGACGCGGGGAGGCGTGGGCGACCGGGAGAGGGGAGAGGGACGGGAAGAACTACGCTTTCCCTCCCGTTCCTCCCTCCCAGCGCGGCGGCCCTCACCATGCGGTTCTGGCTGCAGGGGGGGGGGGAGGGCTACGGCTTTCCGCAGCGGAGGCGGTACGGTGGGCACTAGGCCGCGTACTCAGCCCCCAGGCGCGGGCCTACCTGCGCACGTCTGCGGGGTCCCCGAAATACCGCGGGAGACCCCTGCCGTGGAGCCCCGGCGAGGCCGGGAAGCTGCTGGGTGCGGGGACGCGGAGAAGTCCCATCAGTGGAGATCCCGCGGCACCGCATCAGGCAGTAGTGAAGGTATTCGCAGGACTTTTTTAGCGGATATTATAATCTAAAGAAAAGTTTACTAGAAAAAAAAGTAAAGTAGGTAAAGTTTTTCTAGTAAACTTTTCTTTAGATTTAAACATCTAGCAGTATTTATTTTTAAGCATTTACTTAAAAATAAATAAAAACATAACGGATATTATAATATTAAAGCGCCCGTAAGAGTTGCGGGGTCCCAGGTGGGCATCCACTGTGGGGGTTCGTAAGAGGCGCCGTCGTCTGTAAAAAGATTTTTTACTTTCGTAAAAAAAAAGGTATATCCACACGCAGTAAAAGTCTGTGGTTTGTCAGACCCGGTGGGACTCTACTGGATAATTAACGGTATCGTCAGTGTTTACCACAGTATCTATTGAGTTATAAACAATCTGTTGTCCTTCAAAGGAGTTAAGTAAAATGTCATTAATGACCGCTGCTTGGTCGTTCTTTGGGGTTAGTATAGCTCTTTCGCATAACCACTCTATTTACTTTCCGAGAAGAGCACAACGTCGGGATATATTTTTTTAAATTAGATTTTTAACTGGTTGTTATTGAAATGTATAGATCGGAAGGGACAGATATAATGCCTCTTTGCCATCTTGCCATCTTTCACCGTTACTCAATTTTAGCAAAAAATCCGAAAATTGGCTAGCGGGAACATCACCTCCAAGGAGGACTCTCATATTTTTTGTTCATTTTAAAATTTTTATTGGGGCCAAAATGATGATCTTTTAAGACACGCTTTTATCTCATCGTTACATGCTCCCCTTGAAAGTACTGGTAGAGTTTGACGAAAGTTTCCTGCCAGGAATACAGTCAAACCACCCATCAACTTTTTTTGCTGCGTATGTCTTGCAGAGTCCTATTCCTTTACCTAGTGCTATACTTTTTTATGGGTCATAGTACTTTTATCACAGATAATAATTTTAGTTTTGGTTAATACTTCTGCAAATTTGCTCTGTTTTGCAATATTACATAATGCAGTTTTCATATTTGTTAGGTTCAGTGGCAAATTTAAGCCCGCGTGTGCTGTGCGGTCCGATCGCCTTGCAAAAGTGTTGTTCAATTCCCAGAGAAGCCACAGCTACTGCAATGTCACGTGTGACCCTTATTTTTCCCAAAATCAAATTTAATATGGACCGAGTTTAAGCTAAGCAAAATCCTTGGTTTATTAAAATTGATAGTTGATTTTTTTATGCCATCAATATGCCAACAGCCTGATATTCTTTCACTCGTTCATGTTTTTAAGTTTTAAAATGAAACAGCAATCACTGAAGATTTTTGATTTAACAAATTGTTTCAATGTCATGAAATAAAAATTGACGATCTGTGAATATTCAAAGTGGAATCCACCACTCGAAGTGACGGCAACGAGGCGGCTCGTAAAATTCCTAAATACAAAATTCAATTTGTCAAGATACGATTTGATTCCTAAAGAGTCAAGATCTTTTGTGCGATGACATCAATGTAGACGAGGCTTACAGTGATTGGAGCTTCTTGAGGTTTAAAGGTTTTTGTTGATAAGGGAACTGAGAATCTTCAAAATTTTGTTCGTTATGTTTGCAATTTTTAACTATTCATACTCCTTATCGATTTCAATTCGACGGGGATTTTTAAATTGAGAACTACTCCAAATGTTGTATATACATTATTAAAAAAATTAAAGCAATCAATCAATGAAAATGATGAATTAATTCTGAAAAGAAGAGCTATTCGGTTGCGTTTAAATCGGTTGATTCTCAAATTAAGCAAATAAGTGCCTTTTTATTTATCTTTATATTAAAATTTATTACGTCATACTTGTGTTTAGTTTTCATAATATCAGTTTATTAAGCGTGTTTCACTTCGAGTCATTATTAGTACATATGCTAATTAAAAAGGTCAATTTAATACGAGTATGTTCAGATAAACAGCCATTTGTAGATAAAAATCCCAATTTAAATATGTAATAATATTATTCATGGAGATACCCCTACAAAATGATATGCGTTACATTGTGTATGATTATGTATGAACACATTAGTAACATTTTAAAGGTATTATTGTGTTAAAATTATTTTCGACTAAAATAACATTTTCCGTTTTTAAACTATTTAATTTTCTGTAATGTAATTGATGTCAATTAAGTGACTATAAAGATTAGATAGATGGCACTAAGCGTTTTTGATTTGTTTCCGAGTGAATGTTTTGTGGATTTATCATAAACTCGAGATCTTGATAGGTGTCGCCTGCCCGATAAAACAAATTAAAAATATCAAAGTCCGACTGCAGCGTCTTGAGTTGGAAATTTCTTTTATTGTGTACTTGAATTCTACAAATTATGGGAAAACGTTAAGAAAAGTGTAAATGGAGTATGGACGAAACATTTGAAGATTGGAGATGTATGATGAGATAAGAGTTGCGTTAGGTCCTGTATTGTATTTTGTCTGGTGTAAGGCATTGCTCGGCTTCCTCCAAATTCAGCCTAGCGACGAATATGAGACTTTAAAATTGGCGATGGATACTTTTGATAAATACTGAAGATTATCGGGACACTCACCAATTAGCACTGGGCAAGCGTGGTGGGTCACGGCCCAGTCTCCCTATTCCGTCAATAGAGAAGGTCCGTGCCCATGCAATGGGGACATTAGTAGGCTGATGATGATGACGATAAAGCCGCGCATAATGTAACGATGTCCGACGACAAAGCGTCCCGCAGAGGGCGGACTCTTGACTGGCTGCGCGACTTAGATATTAATTATAGTCAAAGTTACCACAGTTAAATTAAATGCTATATGATCAAATAAATCTTGACTCACAACAAAATTTAAATCAATGTTTATGTGCAAGAGCGATTGCGCACCAAGAAACGAAATTAGCAAAATCAACACTGATACTTACATAAGCGATGCTGCGCAAAGCTAAGCAGTGTCTTACAAAAAATAGAAATCGCATTGCTCAAAATACACTTCTCTTCTCCGCTCCACTTCAGTGGAAATAGTATTAGTGGAGTTGAGAATAATAAAATCAATATATAGCGCGCGGAGTTAAGCTGGGCAGAGCGGAGTGTTGTCATGCTGAGCGAGGCCGAGCGGTGCGGCGCTGGGCGCAGAGGAGCTGTCGCTTTATTCAATTATTTTACTGCCTGCAAACAAAATTCATTCACAGCTCCGCTCAGATCATCTTCAATCTGATCCACTCCGCTCATCCCTACTTTACACATTTCCGCTCAGGTCTGCACGGCTGATATTCGCAAGCACAGCTTCAAAACACTTGCCTATTTACACGGCTCCGCTCTGCTTAAATCCGTACAGATTTTGTGGAAACACACCCTTAATGTGTAGATCTCCGTCAATATTTACAATCATGGGCACAAAACAAAGAAGTTCTCATCCCGCTGAGTTTCTAAATTTTCTTGAGCTAACGTGTATTAAGTGCACCAGTTATATTATACGAAATATATATGAACTACGTAATGAGAAGGTATACCAACATAGTACATAACAGCATGTGGAAATCTCTATTTCGGATCCGTGATTGTATCGACCAAGTACAGGTAAAGTTAATAAGAGATATTAAATAACGAATCTTCAGTTCCGGGCGAGTATATTATTGCAAGTATTATATCTTCTCCTATCTACGAATTCAATTGACCAACAATCAGAATTGGTTTCAAAAATCAACATTAACAAGAGCGAAGCCGCGCGCAAAACTAATAAAATAAAAAAGGTACAAAGATTTAAGTCAATAAACAAAATACTATTTAGTTTGTAATAACACAAGTTTTTCTCTCAGGGATATTAAAAAAGATTGAAAATAAGGCTCTCACCGTGGTCTGCATGGTGGCTGGCTACCGGCCAGCTGTTCTCAATCGTAAAGCCGCTATTTATACGCCCAGGATATCGATTTTGCCCGGAACAGTTACGTAACTTACAGCAACGGTACGGCGCGGCAAAAGTTTGGCGCCTCTGCCCTATCCGCACATTCGCACACTACAATCACGATAGTTCCAATTAAAAGGTCTATGAAAAAAAAGTTTTTTTCAGAGTTCCAATAAATAATTTAAAATTAGTATTTGATGGTAAGTCTATGTCGAAGAACAAGCGAATTCGAAAACCAGCAATTCGAAAATATTCGATTGCGATTGGAAGGCAGGAATTGACAATAATGGGAAGGGGTTCTTTTTAGAAACACAATTGACTTGTAATTCCGGAGGACCCGGCGTCGGGCGTAGTCGAACACAACCGTGTCCAGTGGCGCCGCCGATCTAACTGGCGGAATATCGAGGCGACTGCGTGGTTTTCCACTAGCACAAACGGCGACCTCCCTTAATTCTCCCTCGCATTATGGTATTTACGTCACAGGAAAAACAGTTGAAATTTCATTGTACAAATTGCGTCACAACATTACAGTTTTCACCAACGAGTTTGCGTTCCATAAAGTCTTGATGGCATTGAAATAGAGATGAATATTGGTAAATAGATTGTATTTGATAGATTTGTGAGATTGGAACGTTGTTTCAGAGGTTTCAGCGTCGCGTCGGAAGAGCAGACATGATGGCGTCGACTTCCATTCGTTTGTAACATGTTTATTGTTAATTTAGTGTGCGGCTCGTTTGTTGATTTATTTGACGTGTTTCCAGCAGACAGGAAAATTAACGGGCTCTTTAAACGATGTCTCGTTAAATATGTATATTGACAAACATGAAGCTGAAGGTTAATTTAAATGGACGTTAATGATCGTACGTAGTAGCTGTATTCAGACACGTTACATTATTGGTTTGATTGAATAGTAATATTACTTAAATCAGTACATAGCATAGTCGTATAGAAGTTTATATATAAAAAAAATGCGTGAGTGTCATGGAGCACTCGGTTGATACGAAGTTAAAAATATTATATATCACTCGTCAATCCACACTGAGCCCGCGTGGCGAGTCATGGTCCAATCTCCTATTCCATAAAAAAACTTATCCTACTCACCAACTGTACTAAACCCAGTGCTTAATGGGCCCAATGCAGAATGGTCTCAGTATGAAATGAGCCTAGTGCGGAATGAACCTAGTATGAAATGGGCCTAGTGCGGAATGAACCCAGTGTGAAATGGGCCTAGTGCGAAATGAACTCAGTGCACAATGCGCCCATTTTGGAATAGGCTTAGTGTGGAAGGGGCCCGTACGGAAGGTGCCTAATTCGAACGCTCCCAGTCCATCGCCATCGCTCCCGGTCTATCGCACACGCTCCCGGTCCATCACTCTCCAACAACCATTACCCACAGTGGTCGCCCACCTCGCTGCTCATCTAGCTACCCGCTGCCTGTTGCGTTGGTAAATTTTTGCCTAGCCCCTATACGCCATAACGTCCGAAAAGAAAACTTCATTCCAAAAACGTTTATAAACAAGCGCGTCGAAACTGTGTCGACGCACTTTTATTATATAAGATACTAAATAACTTTATTGATGCTCCTTATCTACTTAGTAAAATAAATCTAAGAGTACCTCGCAGACTCGAACGCAATTGTCGTGATAAAAAAATATTTTATATTCCATTTAATAGAACATGTTACGTTAAAAATATGTTTACAAGACGTGCATGTATAACGTTTGACCAAAATGAAAAACTTACCACTATTGATATATTTAACACATCAATAGGCAAAATCAAGAACGCCTTTAAATTATACACTGTTTGATTATGTATGTAGATTAGAATTTAATACTCACACATGTAACGCAAATAGGCTTTTCATCACATTTACTTAAAGTTCTTTAGTTTAAATTGATTAGCGCTAATTTGTTTACTTTAAAAGATTTGTTAACAATTTCGTCGCTGTGTGGCGGGGGCCCGGTGGGTCGGGATTGGTTGATTGTGGCTGTATTGTTGGCTCGTTTCGATTTGCTGGGTTTTAGCTGTACAGCGCGATTTATAATTAAGGAAACTATAGTTCTGTAGTGATATAAAACTGACAATATTTTCAAATTTATATGTATGACCGTTTGTTTCTAATAAATAAACAAGCCCTTAATATCATACAAAATTCACTTTCAAACAAGTAAATAAATATTTTCAAAACTCACACCAATTAGCCTAGCCCCAACGTAAGCACTGTGGGCTAGTGTTATGGGATACTAGGGTAACGGATAGAATACATAATACTAATACATATATAAGTATAATTTATATAGAAATACATATTAAACATCCATTACTGGAGAACAAATGCTCGTATTCATCACACATCCTCTCGAGTTGGCGATACCTTGACACCCGGCCATCACTCGGCCGCGGAGGTCGTCAAATTGAACTTACATATGAGGAGCTGGCGTATAAAACAGTATAATTACATAAAATTAAATTTTACAGGATCTGTATAAAGCTGAATGACATACCTGCAGTGAGCTTTTGACATGGTTTTCAATTTATAAATTTAGTAATTTCGATACTGTTTTAGGCGGTTTTAATTGAAAATTATTTTAGATTCAAATTCAACGGGCCCAAAACCTCCGGACTGTAAAAAAAAGTAGTATGACCAGATGCGTAATTATACCGTTTTGTTCGCCAGCTCCTCATATTTGGGAATCCCCAATCTGATGGGGTTGCATGTTGATATTATCGAAGACCAAAATACTCATCAAGATGAATCAAACGAGCCCAAACTTGATCCGGTTACGTCATTTTATTACGGAAATCTTATAGGCACCTTCCAGCTTCATCTGAAACCCTGGTTACCATTTGGGATCGAGTACTCGTCAAGGCGAAATAGATGAATCCAAACTCGATGGGATTAACACGTTTTATAAAGGACTTCCTATGGACACCTTCCAGATCCATCATCAAACTTTGGATATCCTTGTGGCACATTACTCGTCAAGACAATTAAACGGGCCCAGAATCGATAGAATGCAATCTTTTTTTTTTATTTCTTGAAAAGGCTTGACGCCATACTTCGCCATCTGGGAGCATGCGTCGAAGATACAGGGTGCAACTCTATTTATTTGTTTTATCTTTGAATTCCGGTAACTACCTTCCGGCTCCATCATCAGACCCTGGATACAGTCAAGAGTGCTCAAGACGAAACGACCGAGCCCAAACTCAAGGGTTGCATTGTTTCCAGTGGCTAACTTCTGACTCCATCATCAGTCAAGTTACACAGTACCATATTATTGCATTGTCACCTGACTTACATAAGTATTTCACATTTCAGCTGCGGACTCTGCGAGGTCTAATTTACCATCACAACCTAGCGAGGCAGTGAGGTGGGCGACCACTGACGGCGATGGTTGTTGGAGAGTGTTGGATCGGGAGCATGTGCGATGTACCGGGAGCGTTTGCGATGGCCTAGTAGCGTCATAACTCATTCCGCATTAGGCCCATTCCGCACTGCACCCGTTCCAAACAGGGCCCATTGGGCACTGGGTCTATTTCTCGCTAAGCCCATTCTACACTGGGTTCATTCCGCACTTGGCCCTTTTCAATCTGCATTGGGCCCATTTAGCACAAAGCTTAGTGCCGTTGGTGGGTAGGACTTTTTTTATGGAATACGGAGATTGGTCCATGGCTCACCACGCGGGCCTATTCTATAATGGGTTCATTCTGCACTGAAACCAATCCGTATTGGGCCCATTCCACACTAGGTTCAAGGCAGTTGGTGGGTAGAAGTGGTCGAAAATGGTTTGCAAATATTGAAGCGAACAACAAAGGTATATATAGACGAACATATTTATAACCAATTACTAGCACACTTTTCTATAAATAAGCTACTTCATTTAAAACAGTTTGGTTTCACTAGAGGCAAAAGTACTACTGATGCTGGAACTGCACTTCTCAAACACATTTTTGATATATGGGAGAGTAAGCACGATGCTATTGGCATTTTTTGCGATTTATCTAAGGCGTTGGACTGCATTAGCCATGAAACATTGTTAAATAAAATGAAGCATTATGGTGTATCAAATATTTCACTAAGTCTGATACAGTCTTATCTTTCTACTAGGATTCAGAAAGTAGTTATAAATCAAGCGGAGTCTACAGGAGCACCCATTTCTATGGGCGTGCCCCAGGGTTCAATATTGGGCCCATTGCTTTTCCTTATTTATATTAATGACCTTCCTCACTTTACAAGGGATTTGTGTGAGACAGTACTATTTGCAGATGACACCTCTTTAGTGTTTAAAGCTAGGAGAGGAAATGATTGTTATGACGAAGTAAATTGTGCTCTCTCTGAAGTCCTTCACTGGTTTACGGTAAATAATTTAAAACTAAACTCTAGTAAAACAAAATGTGTTAAGTTTACTTTACCTAATGTGAGGCAGGTTAATACTAGTTTAAAAATAAATGAGCAGCCTGTAGAGTTAGTGGATTCTACAAAGTTTCTGGGTATTACTTTAGACTCGCATCTGCAATGGGATCCTCATATTGATGCCTTATCAAGTAGACTGAGCTCTGCGGCTTTTGCTGTTAAAAAAATAAGACTTCTAACTGATGTAGAAACGGCAAGATTGGTTTACTTTGGTTACTTTCATAGCGATATGTCATACGGCCTTTTGTTGTGGGGCTCAGCTGCTAATATAGAAAGTATTTTCGTTCTGCAAAAGAGAGCTGTTCGCGCCATATTTAATTTAAAGGCCAGAGAATCTTTTAGAGAAAATTTAAAGAAATTAATATTTTAACACTGGCATCGGAATACGTTTATGAAAATTTAGTATATGTAAGAAAAAACTATGACGCATTTGCAAAAAAAAGTCAAACCCATAACTTTAACACGAGATTTAAGAATAAGCTTGCCGTTCCATGTTTCAGACTACAAAAATCAAGAGGTTCATTTCTGGGATGTAGTATTGCATTGTTTAACAAAGTTCCCCAAGATCTGATTGAGCTTCCACTATCCAAATTTAAATCTCAGATTAAGAATACTCTAATGAATAAGGGCTATTATAAAGTTAATGATTATTTAAATGATCGAAATGCATGGACATAGTGTTTCTTGTAATTTGTTATTTGATGGGCATGAGTCAGTTTTTGTAACAGTAATATGGTACCTATCTAATGCCGTTTCCTATATACTAAATATTATTGTAACTATATATCTATATCCTAAATAATGTAATGGAAGGTGACTTAAGAAGTATCTCTGAAGTCATTTTTCAACCTGACGACTCTGTATATATCAATACAGGGAGAAAAAAGCAGCCCTTGCTGAGTTTCTTGCCGGTTCTTCTCAGTACAAGGTCTCCCGCCGTAGTTTTGCGAACCGATGGCGTAGCTTC